CTGGCCCGGCGGCGCGCTCGGAGCCAGCGGGGCGGGTAATTGGCGGCCGGAGGAGGCGAACGGGCCGGCCCGGCCTCCGCTAATGAGCGGGCGGAGCCTAGGGGAGGGCGCAGGCCCGGGCGCTGAGCCGAGGAGGGGGCTTCGGTGGCCGCGCGGAGGTGGGGATGACTGCCGTGCGGATCCCGGCTGTCCCCCTCCTCCGCTGTGGCGGGGACCGATGCCCCGAGGGACACCCCTTCCCCCAGGCGGTCTCAGGCGCATTCCAATTACCCTGCGGCCGTGCCAAGGCCTCCGGCTGCCCCCGGGCCTCAACCCCTGTCCCCGGAGAAGTGCCAAGGACGGACCGCGCGGGCGAGAGGGAAGGGGTCCCTGGGGGCTTGGCCGCGCTGCAGCGGACCTGGGTAGCCCAGGAGCCCCTTCCCTCCGGGCACGGCCACTGGGGGAGGGCGCGCCTCGGAGTCCGATACCCCGGAGCTGTCGTAGGAAAGCCCGCAGGCAGCTGCGAAACCTGCTCCGGCGGAGGCGGCGGAGATGGTGATAAAATCCTCCCTGGTTTCTAAATTAATTACACTGAACCCGCCGCGCTCTGCGGTCCCGGCTGGGGCGGGCTGGGAGTAGTCGGAAGGAAAGGGCGCGGTGGCCCCCAGCGCTGGGGGCGGGGAGCTCCTGCTGCTGACTCTGAGAAATCCACTCCAAGACGGTGTGAGGAGTGACCGAGCTCCTCGGTGCTTAAAGGAGAAGAGAAGCGGGGAGAGGGGGCAGAGGGAAGCTTTCATCCAGCCTGTCGTCCCCCTGGGAGGAAACTTGGCCCGCTGCCACCACTGGCTGAGGCCCGAGGTCCCTTGCTCTGGGAGCGGTCCCCTTCCTGCGGTCCAGTCCCCATCTGTCGGGAAACCTGCAGCCAACTGGCCCTGTGGCCCTGCTCAGCTTGCACTGGTCTCGGTTAAGCCCGGGTCCGCTGCGATCCTGCCTGTGTACTCCTGCTTCTAGAAGTCACTGAGGCTTGGTGTTGGCAGTATTTTTCACGGCCGCCCCTTCAGCCTGGTCTCAGGCTCTGCTGTGAAGAAAGGCCCAGCCTCAGGGACTTGAGGGTCCACAAAGGAGCGCCACGCTGACCGTAGCACAGCCTTAGAGAACCGCACCCGGCTCCAGACACCTGGTTTAAGGGGACTGCCAACCTCTCAGGAACAGAGGACATTTTCTTCTGAACACTTCCCACCTGGAACCCTTGACTTTATTTCCCAATTCCTCCCACCAGTGGCCACCTGGGAGCAGCCGACCCACAGAGGGCCCCCTCTTTTACTTATTTTTCTATTGAGGTGTATCTTTGTAGGGGCAGAAAGGTGTGATCCCTTTCCTCACCCATGATATCCATCACAGTGGTCACACCCACACTTCAGGAGCAAGAGACCGGTCAACAAGAAAAAAGAATAGTAAATTTATTTCATCAAAGTTTTCCTTGATACCAGCGCCTTCAGAAATGAAAACTCAAAGACCCAGTGCCTAGGTTCAGTGAAGAATGGACAGCCATGTAGAAGTGAGATCAGACAAAAGGTATCATCTAATGGTGGGGTGGGGAGGGCTAGCAAGGCCTGCTTGTTGGGATTTTTCTTGGCCTTTCTGGGTAGCATTTCCTCCTCCTGAGTATAAGACAGGACCCTTCCGGAATAAGAATCTTCAAGGCAAAAGGGAGAGAGTGATCATTCTAGGTTTTATGCCTTGCTTTGCGGGACGGGAATTCTAATTTCTATGGCCCACCTTGTGGGGGAAGAAGGATTCTAGTTTCCGAGTCTTACTTCAGGGAAGAAAGTGGGATAGGAGCCAGGCGGGCCAGAAAAGACCAAGAGAGGTCTTGCTTCAGAGGAGGCCTTCTGATCTGTTTTAGTTCAAAGTACTTAATACGAGGAACCCTGCACTTTGGGGTATTGCACCCGAGCCCCAACAACTCAGATACAGTGAAGTGTGTACATCTTAATGTTTTACGTATGAACTAATTTTCCACTAGTATACCTAGTATCACCACCCAGGTCAAGATATGGAAGATTGCCAAAAGCCCAGAAGTTTCCCTCAAAGCCCCTCAGTCAACACCCCCAACTATTCTGACCTCCACGGCCGTAGATTAGTTTTACCTGTTTTTATAAATGGACTCGTGCAGCAGGTGTTCTTTGTTGTGTGGCTTCTTCCATTTATTCTCCTCAAGCTCCATCCATTCTACTGCATGAAACAATAGTCCGTCCTTTTTAATTACCGAATGATATTCCATTATACAAATATACCACAATTTACTTATGTGTTTGACTTTTGATGGACATTTGGATTGTCTCCAGCTTGGAGTTATTATGAATAGAGTATTTGGGAACATTGTGCTATATGTGTTTTGGTGGATACAAAGGCCCAGTTTTGCTGGGTATACAGTACTCCCAGGAGTAGAATTTTCTGAGTCATAAGGTAGTAGATGTTTAACTTTATTGCCAAACAGGTCTCCAAAGCAGTTGTACCTGGTTAGCTTTTTAAAGATGCCATCAGGGTATAAATGTTACTAAGAGAAATACGTGACACCTACAGCTTAATAATGACCACAAACATATATTGAGCACTTAGAATGTGCTAGGTACTGTTATATTTGTATATAATTAACATTTCTTTCTACACATTTATACACATTTTCAGTGCCTGATTTTGTCTTAGAATGAGCATGATGCCTACCCTAATTGGGACCCAAATATAATAGTCTGAGTTTGTGGAATGAATCATCTCCATTTTACAGATGACAAGAACGAGACTCAAAGAGCTGTTGACTTAAAGATTCCAGGGCCACTGAGTAGCAGGGCCAAGTCTGCAACTAAATCTCTGAGCTCCCAGCATTGCTGATGTTTTTATGAATGGAAGCTTGACTCCACCTGAAGCCTCCTTCAGTGTCCTCCCTCCTACACCGCGGGTTGGCACCCCCAGTAATCCTGTGTGCTGATCTTTGAGGCCCTTGTCTTTCTTTTTTTCCCCCGGTATCTCTTATGATACAAAGTACCTTAAGACTTAGTGACTAAAAACAATTCTTATGGTCTCCTGGCTCCTCTGAATGGAGTGGACTCTGCCAGGTGGTTCTCACTTGAGTTCTCTTGAGCAGCTACAGCAGCAATCACCTGCAGGCTGCTCTAAGCTGAGCATCCAAGGTGGCGCACATACGCAGCTCGTGGTTGATGCTGGCCTGACCGGCAACTCATCTGGGCTATCAGGTGAAGCGTGTCCATATGTTTTGAGCTCCTCACACCACTGTGGCTGGGTGCTGAGACGCAGGAAGAGGAAGCCACCAGGCCCATTAAGTGCTACACCAGGAATGGGGATAGACCAACTTCCATCATATTCTATTGATCAAAGGAGTCACTTGCCATATTCAGAATACAGTGGCAAGCAGAAACACCTAAATGACTCCCAGGATTTGGAGGCAGATTTATTTATGTCAACAGGCACTGATCAGGATCATTCTCAGACTATCAGGCCCTGATCTCTGGTGGACTAGGGCTTATATGGGATAAGCAAGCAGGAAGTACAGAGGCAGAATAGCTTGTCAGTTGGGGATTGGTTTATACAATGTGCATCACAGTGACCATCGATATCTAAGAGACAGGAACAACTGGAACCAAAACAGGAACTATTACTTGGACAATGAAGTAACTGAAGTATACTGGCGGGGGGGGGGCATTTTCTGCTACAATAAGGGTGGAGACATAGACTTGATGGCTGAGTGACAGGGCACAATGCAGAAGACCACATGGGTGGTCTTTTATAGTTGTGACATCTTTATGAAATAGATACCTTCCTTACCTACTTACCTTGCTCCCAGGAAGGCCCAAAACATCCCTTTATTGCTTTGATTCTTGAAGAGAGAAGGTTCCAAGGACTCTTTCCATTTCAGGGCAAAACAACTATGCAGAGTCATCTCAACATCAGTCCACTGGCCTGTCCCACCTGTGTCTGCCATGCCCTATGTCCTGGGCTCCGAACCTTGCTGGCATTTTTAACAATGGAACCTTGACTCCCCTTGAAGCCTCCTTCAGTTTCCTCCCTCCTATACCCCGGGTTGGCACCCCCAGCAATCCTCTCATCACTTCTCTGGGTCCCTGAGTATATGCACAAACTCTCCACCAAGCTTCACCCCGCAAGAGATCTAACATGAACCGTGCCATCCTGGCCATCAGCCCCAGCTGCCACCTGTCCAGGCCTTCCCCTCCTGACAACCATGTGTCTGACAGATGCAGAACCTCTCGGGCTCCTAACCAAAGTAGAATTCTCCTATAGCCCCCTAAGAGAATTAGAGAGGGGGATTTGATCTCTACTCTTGCAATACTTGAAGAAAGCAGACTCTACTTGGAAGACCTGGATTTGAATCCCCACTCTGTTACTGACTGGTTGTGTGATCTTGGGCAAGAAGTCAGACCTCTCTATGACTTGGTATCCGCATCTGCAAAATGGATATAATTACTAGGCCTCCCTCCCAGGGTTGCTGTGAGGATTGGAAGCCGTAATACACACACACATACACGAGCGCACATGCACGCGTGTGCACACGCACGTAGCAAAAGGAAAAGGGCAGACATGAATCACATCTTCTTTTCCCAGACTCCAAAGCTACTTTTTGAAACTAAGCTCTTTTTTACACAATTAGTTTTTATATTTAATGAGTTTTCACAAAGTAAACCACATCAGTACCCAGCCTGAGAAACAGAACATTACCTGCACCCGCAGAAAGTCCCTGCTCCTTGCAGTCCCTATGCACTCTGAAGACTATCCGGATGTCTAACAACCTAGATTACGATCTGACCACATTTGTGGCAGCCAACTGGCCCTGCACAGTTGGCAAACTAGATAGTCATCTACCTGGTGTGCTTTGAAAGAATGGAGCCAGAAAATCCAGCTCCTGTTTTGCCTAAATCTCCTCCGTTTTGGAGGCCTTCTTGTGTGTTAAAGCATTGCTCCCTATCCACAGTTCTCTTTTAAAATGCAAATCCAGGGCCGGGGGTATAGCTCAGGAGCATGCTTGCCTGGCAAGCGCAAGGTCCTGAGTTCCATTCCCGGTACAAAAAAAAAAAAAGCAAATCCATCTGGTTTGGGGTAACAGACATTTCCTGGTCCCAGGGGGGATATATTTATCTATTTTTTCAGGATCTCTGGACAGTGAAGCCTTGTTAGGCAGCTAAAGAAAATTCGGAAAGGGGTCAACCATGGAAGGAAGCAGTAGCCAGGCCTCACTTGGTTCACAGTTTTGCCCAAGGCCGCTTCAGACTTATGGCTGTGTTTTGTCTTTTGGTGTTTAAGCCACTTGGTGTTTCTGCCACCAACAACAAGGGCAGTTCCATCAAATCATCCAGCCCAGAAGAGAAGCAGGTGATAATGCACATGTGTCCTGTGGGTGGCCTGGGCTGTGGCCGCACCGTGTTCCCTCAACACACCTTGTCAAAGTTGGGCACTTGAGTGCCCTACCACTGTGACATCATCAGTTGTCAGGCTTTTGACAAATGAGTCCAGCCCTCAGCTGGAGCCTTTGATAAGCCGTTTGCAGGCGTCTGGGAGACATCCACGCCGGTCTTGGGAATGCATCCTAGCCCCATCTCAAATTCACATCTTTTCATGTTTTCTTAAAAAAGCATGCCGTGCATCTGTAAAGATTCATGGCTTAAGA